GAACGAACCTTTTCAACATCATCAAAAGCTTTGTAGCCACTATCCAATGCCTCGCGCACAGAGTTGTGTATAGGCATGACGGTGGATGACAGCAATATCTGATACCTAAAGAAATCGAATTGCGAATTGCAGACAGTCATGACAGACTTACTTTGCCTCTTTGTCAATGAGGAGTTCTATGAGAGGATCCGTAATTTCTACTTCGTTGATGTCGTCATCATGTTCTGCATCTCGCCGAGCTTTTCTTTTTCGCCGTCGTTCCACATTGAGTTCTGAAATACATGGTGATGAGCACGTCGTTAATTTGCAAAAAGTTTCCTACGTACTACAGCCGAGAGCATGTTTGCAGCAGGCAGTAGTTATGGTAAAGTTCCATTTTACAGAACAATGAGCAAAACCAGGACTATGAATTATGTAGTGTATATCCCAAATATATCACCACCAGAGCTTGCACCACCCCTTTAGGCAAAGTTTTGAGCAAATTTTGAATTACCCTCGCACAAATAATTAACCATACAGAGAAACGTTCAAAAAGTTCGACAAGTGAACAACGTGTCGAACTAGTAACCCCTCTAAAACAAATCAACCAAATCCGCATATCAACCCTTCTATTATAGCACATGTCGCGACTCCAAAAGAGGTCTCCTCATGCAAAATGAGTACCATTTTTTTATAAACAGCGTGCCAAATAACTCCTATGTGAGAGTTATAGCGATATCAGTAATTTTTTATTTCTGGTTTGTATATTCTAGAATAGCGCCAATCAAATATTGCGAATAAGCCTACCACTTCTATCCATTCCGACGCGAATGCACTTCTTGAATCGGCAGTGCCTGCAAGAGCATCGCATATTCTTGTCTATGATGCAGTCTCCGTTGTTTTTGCATGAATAAGTTCGATTCTGCAAAGGATTTGTTCAAAGACTCCTTGCAGTGTATAATATCGACAGTCACCTCGAGAACTACTCTTCTGAAAAAAGTCTTACATCCGTTACAGGCTGCAACAGCGTAATGGATTCCAGAGGCGGCGTCACCACAAACGACGCAGGGATCACCTAAACTCGGATGGTGATTGCTGTGTAATACAAGTATCTAGTAATTATATTAGAT